AAGCAGTTATTAATCTTACAGCCTTTCCAACTCCCTTGTGCTCCTTATTTTGGTGGTGAAAAAGAGATTTAAGCAGGTTATTTGGGCTAGAGTAAAAAATTATTTCTGCATCCTCTTCCCCAACATTTCTTCCGGTCCTAAGTACAGCTAAGCAGAAAAAAAGAATCTGATCTTTGGACTTTAGGTGCTGCACTTGGCACACCCAGAGTGTGCTTGACTGGGACAGGATACTGAAAAGGAATCAGCAGACCTGGCTTCGACATTTGCAGATTGCATGGCCTCAAGCAACTCATTTGCCTTTTGTGCCCAGTATTTTTTCATGGCATACCATACCATAAGATGTCATTCTCAGCAATAAAATGTGGGGTGGGCTGGAGTGGGCTGTGTGTCCAAAGTCGCCATTGCTCAGAGACTGGCTGGGCTTCAGTCTGCTGGTGGGAGGTGGGGAGTCGTTGCCTTCCCATCACTTTTTTTTTCTTCTTCTTCTTTGCTAATTGAACTTGACTCACTTTTTTTCCTCACTTTCACCCTTCCAATTCTCTCCCTGTGCCGTGGTGGGGAGTGACTGAGTGACAGGTGAGGGCTTCCCTGCCAGCCAGGGAAAACCCACCAAAGCCTCAAACTGTTGTAGGCCATGGACGTGCATTTAGAAAGCATCTCTACATGCTTGCTCTATTCTTCTGGTCTGCTACATCAGCCTCATGTTTATCTGTTTTATTTATTATCAGATCCAGGTTACAGGCTATGTCAACAACTGGTCTTGCCCAGTACAGCCATTTTATATTCTTACGTGCTTACTGCAGTAACCATCTGTGTGGCATTACTTGATTTCTGACATTATTTCACAATTAATTTTCATGTGCTGGTAACTGTTTTTCAACAGTGTTTTCAACAGGGCTAGATCCTGGCTCCAGGATCTACTGAGATCAGCTTTTCTTTATATAGAAAAACATATGTCCTCCTTATGAATGCCTCACAAGCCACTCAAAGCCAAACTCACAGAATCACAGAATCACAGAGTGGTTGGAGGTTGGAAGGGACCTCTGGAGATCCTCTAGTCCAACCCCCCTACCAAAGCATGTACATGCTTATCTGCTTTTCCTCATTCAGAAAATTCATTCTCCATACAGGATGGGCAGCTTTCGAACTGTCAAATGCCCGCTTACCTATGTATGGTCTTTCTGCAGCTTTTGATGTTCATCATGGATGATATAGTGGTGTTCTCCTTTGATGATGGGCAGCAAGGTACCAATCTGGATAAAAAATTTGTCTCTTTTCATGGGTTCTGACTCCAGTTTCCCAGCTGACTTCGAAATCAGTAAACAAATTTGGTTAGTTGCTAAGCTGGTAGGATTGTCCACTCCCACAACCTAAGGTTGCATCTAAAGCTATTACCCACCTTTGTTTCCCCTATCAATGAAAATTAACCTGGAACTCAGGGAGAGAAGAGAGAAAAATGGATAAATTACTTGTCTTCCCAGTGTGAATGTAAACCTGAAGAGATTCAACCCACTGAGACCATGGTAAATTTTGTTACTTAACTCTGGATAGGAATTTAGGGACATTATATAACATTCTCCCACCATCCCTCCCTTTCTAGCAACTCTCTGAAGACTGAAGGTCTTACAGAACTGCTTCCAGGGAAACTCCAGGATAGTTGGGAAGATGTGAGGCTGTCTCAAAGACCAGCACCTGCCAGTTTGCACTGATGGGGTTCTGTAGTGAGACATCTATGAACTTGAATTACTAGTTTAATAGAGTTATTGGATATGAGGATAACGCTTTTCTGAAGGCAGCCTTTATTCAGCAGACACGGCCATGCTGGAAGGGACTGGCCTTATCCTAACAGCAATATTTAGGCTGAGGTGATCAGGCACTGATTACAGAACACGTGGATAAGAGAAGTAACTGAAGTTATTTCTGGATACCTGACTCAGTCCATAGCTGCAGCAAGATCTTCTCCACCTGTGCCTTTACTTCCTTAGGAGGTTCAAAGCAGGCAGAGAGTAGGTAGCTCTGAGACCTGTACTGGATCCAAGAGGGCAAATTTAATTGCAATGATTGGATCTAGATCTGTACACACAAAAGTGAACTGAGATTTATGATCTTTCCTTCACAGGATGGGTCTGAATTTCAATACACTCAGAAAAGGAAGTTAAAACTACAGTTGAATCTGTGATTATTCTAAAGAAGAGATGAATAAACCCAGCTCTTAGGGGTGGAAACAGCTATAGAGTAAAAACCCCATCAGTCTGCTGGAATTTGGCACAGATAGATAAACAGAGGACTGAAAGCTAATTATCTATATGAGCCTTTAGAGAAGGATACCAATTCCTCTTATAATTGAAGAAAGCCCTAAATATTTCAGAGAAGGCAGCCAGAAGAAGAGTATGTGTGTTCTGTAGAAGACATTCTTGGAGAACTATAACAGTAGGCTGGGGTTGGAGCAGGAAAAAGGAGAGACTAGCCATAGGCCTTGAAGGTCATATGATGATCCCCAGCTTTCCTACTTCTCCCTCAAGAGAAGGAGTAATTCGGGGAGAGAAAAGAGGAATCAGAGGGTAGAACACTCAAGTAAATCTCTTACCTCCTCATCCTCTAGCCTCTTGTCCTTATCTGGATTTAGCAAGACAGCTTGAAAAGCAATGAGGCTGCCCAGCTGAGAAGCATTCCTGGCTGGCAATCAGCCTCTTAGACAAACTGCTGGTTGCTGCTTGGTTGGCACACTGCTGTGCACAAGACTAAGAAAACTTTGAAACCTGGGCATAGTTGTCACTCTTCTTCTTTGTGGAAGATGTATGCCAGAGCTTTTCTTTGGATGAGGCCAAGATAGTGACCTGGCATAAGGTACCTGCTTCATCCCCTCCTAGCATGCAGGGGAGAGAAGATGCTGTAGATATTTGAAAGTGGAAGAGAGGAAAAAGGCACTTGGTTCCTAACAGGCTTTTGAATGCCTGCTGAGACAAAAGCTGAGGCAACCACACATCTATGGTAGAGACCAGCTACAAGCTTTCACAAGCATGGTGAGATGTTAGAAGCAAGTGTACCTCTTAAGTGATGGGTAGCAACCATAACCCAAGAATTTGCAACAATATTCTCATATCCAAGAATAAGTGCCTTTAAAAAGACATCCAATAGATTTTTAAGAATAAATGTAGACAGCAAAATGATGTTGCCTCCAGCCAACTTAAAACTATAAAATGCTAGTGGCTTGGGACTCACAATTATGGACAACCCGCTTCTGCGCTTATTGAGGAAATTCTTCATTAATACAAAACTCCAGCCTGCTGGATTTACTCGATAATTTAGAGAAATGAGGTTTGGGTGTCTGCATGAATTGGACTGGAAGGCCCTTTTTCCTGTTTGAGGACAGTGATATATATAGCTTTAAATGCTATGTTAAATTAAATGTTATGATGTTTCACAATCATGTATTTAAACACAGAAATCTTTTTATTTACCCAAACAAAACAGAGGAAATGATTCCAGCCCTCAGGTTCTGAATTCTTGTTTAAATATGTGAACATCAGTCCACAACTTAGAGATGTTTGTGTATCTATGTACCTCCAAAATACTCATATTTCATAGGCTTTTTCACATTAATATTCACCAACAGTATCACAAAAGTTCTTTTTCTTTTACATAACTGTAAGCAACAGTAATTCTAGAAACACTAGAGAAAAAAAAGCATAGCAATGTCCACAGTTACAAGAAAAAGTGCACATTACTTGGTCACAATCACAGTCATTACCTGGAAAACTATATGTAACAAGTAGATATAAAATATCACTGATGCCTTAAACTCATTGTCAAAAACGGAATTACATAAAATTTTGTACATGAAATAAGGCAAATTTAGGAATGCACAAGAAACTTGTTATTCAACAAAAGCTAAACAACAGAACAGATAGTACAGTAAGCATAAACTAAATTACTTTTCTATATACTTAAAAATAAGCCTGCCGTAGTGCACAAAGAAAACACCATTAATGTGTAATCAATATTATAAAATAAGAAATAGAGGGGTTGGGAAGAGGGGGTGGGGGGTGGGGGGGGAAGAAGAGTTTTATTATAATTGCAGCTGCATCCATTTACAGTTTTGTACAGGTTTTAGCTAGGCCTGGGAATTATACAAATCATACCAGAAGTGTCAATGACGTTCCTCCGTAAGAATTTTGTTTAAATTAAGGAAAACAAAATAAATACACACAAGAGTGCAAATTTTCAGATTGTCACTTGCAACCTCTTAACATTCATCATCTACATCCGATCACAACTAGAGGGACTTGTATAGGACAGCAGCAGTGATCATGGAGTTAGATGAGCTCATCGTAAGAAATCAATTTATCTTGTTTTTTTTCCTCAATGATATGTCTTTTTAAAAAACCCCTCAACTCTTTATTAATTGCTAATAAAGCTGCAATATATTACAGAATGGAGTTGAGGATGGTATGAATGCAGGAAATGCATGCTTCCTTTGGAAGGTAATCCATAGATGACAATTTACAGTACATGGGGGAAGAATTATCCAGCATCAAGAGTTACTTGTTGTAGAAAGAATATGAAGTTAGGGAGAAGGGCACAGTCAGGGGTTCAAGAGAGGAAGGGGGGACTTACAATAGCTCCTCAAAACATTTTCAGGACCAGTGAAAAAGTTTACCAAAGTAAAAATGAAAAATCTTGAAAGAAAACAAAAATCTTTTGTTTTTTTTATAAAAATTACATTTTTTTAAAATACAAGATCCTTTTAATTGCAATTGTGCCCTGTAGCAACAGGACATTTGGCAACTTTTTGCCATAAACTGCAGCTTTAAGTCCAATGAGTCAGTATCATATTCCACTAATATTGCACGTGGATCTTGAACCTCTTTTTTTTTTTTTTCTTTTTTTTTCCTTTTTTTTAACCATCACAGCATCTTCTGTTTCCTCCACTGGTTAGAATGAGTTAATTTCTAGCCACTTTTTTGATATTTATGCTGACACACTAAAACAAAAGCAATAGGCTGGACACAGTAAAGTACCTCAGAAATACCAGAGGTTGAAGTTCACTTGAAGCACCTTAACACATCACTTTATGGATCAAGAACAGTGTGGCATTATGGTAATTAACTCTCCTAAAAGACTGTGCAGTAACTGAAGTGTGTGCTCTGGGAAATCAAAATGTCATTAGTGGAAACTCTGAGATAAGACCAGGCCAGTGTGAAGGTCACATGACTCAGTTCTGCTGCAAAATAAGGTTTTCCAGTTCATCTGCAGAACGCAATAAAAATGCGGCTGATTCTCGATACCCTGCCACAAGCTGCCTCACTGCATTTATTTCAGTCGGACTCAGCTGGGGTCTAGAGCTTGAACTACTGGAGGATCCAGAGCTGGTTGCTAACTGCCTCTTCATACTGAGATCTGTTGGACCTGCAGATAACAAAGGAAAAGAAAAGAAACCTCAGATCCGCTGCCAGAGACATTTCACAGGTTTGTAACTGCAAATGCAGAGTAGCAAAATCTGCTCTCAGCTCAGTGCCAGTGAGAAGCAGCAGAAACAAGCAGGAACTGTTCAGTTACCAGTTGCCTTGACAGGAAGCACAGCGATTTATATTTATATATGACAGACATCCTTTAAGTTCTACTTATGTAACACAAGGGGCAGTCCACTGCCAGCGGAAAATGACCCCCTGGGGGATATCCCAACAGGGTAGGCCACTTGCACCCCAACACTGCCCTGGGATCTGATGCTGCTGAGCAGGCAGAAGGTTCTTCTCCTGTGCCTCCCCCAGCTCCAGCTGCCATCGTAGCCCTCATGGCAATATGCACACATGCCGTTTTTATCACAGAATATCAAACTTACATTCTCTAGATATCTACTTTAACGTTTTATGCTTCAATCAGCATGCAGTCAGATTGTGAATCCCTTATAGACATAGGTAAATGGTCATTCACTTGACTAGCCCTGGCGCTGGGTGATCACTTACACAAATAGCTGGTCATGAATGAGATCAGGCTGGTGACAATCTGGCTGCTACAGTGAGGAGTACGCTACCGTCTGTGGGGGCTGCATGCAGCTGGCAATATATTGCAAGGACCTTGTGAGGCCTGAACACTGACGAGAGAACCTGCAGCAATCACCATGTTGCACTGGCAGTTTATACCAATACATTTAGCACTTTTCAGCACAGAATATCCTCGAGACCATATATGCTGCGTGCAGAAGACAGCACTCCTGAGGGCAGTCTGCAGGTTACTGCAATCGGCAAAACCATCTGTCATCATGAACTTTGGCTTTGTGTGGATTTCCCCGGTCATTTGACCATAGCTTTTAATCAGCTAAGATGTATGGTGCTTTGATGAGATGTTTGCATTTTCCACTTAACACAATAACTTTTTTCTTCCTGGAGTGTAAATTTGAACAGGTAGAATTGGACTGAGGATTTTTTTAAACACAGAAGGATACAGATGGCAAGTACACCTATCAAGCAGGATATTATGTGCAAATCTGGAAAAATACTGCTTATTCATTTTGACAGTATTGCAAAGCTATACTTCTGGCAGGCAGAAGTACTCGCCTGATCTCAGTCTTAATACTCTCCTGGAAACCGGGATCAAGTTATCTAAAGCAATATATCTTGCTTTCCTATGAGAAAAATGTCACTGTTCAATTTCATCTTGGCAATGTATGTCAATGCCAAGGCTTTCTCAGCATTGGCTCACTGGATGGACCTTGCTTCCTAAAAAGACTGGAATAATTTTAAAATTTAGCATATTCAGCTGTAGAATACAGAATACATCAGTTTCTACTCTAGATGTTGTCCTAAATAATCCCACCAGAATGACAAGATTCAAAAACAGACTCACTATCTTAAGCACTAATGGAAAGAGATGTACTGATTTCCAGAAGCTGAAGATCTGGTCATAAACCTTACTTACTTTTCTGTCTTTTATATTTATGGAGAGATATGGCTGCGACCACAAAGAATGTGGAGGTTGCCATGTCCCTACACTCACTGAAATTTATGACAGTCTCCCCTTGAGTGAATGAAAGCAGAGCTGGGACTATGAAAAGAAACTACTCAAACAGAAAGGGTCCTATTAGATCTTATTTCCTACTATGCAACTAGCATGAACAGCACTTAGCCTTACAACTGTGTTATCCAGTTTTACACCGGCATAAATGAACTGAATTCTAAATGACTTCCAGCATACAAAGGATAAATAAAAGGACAATTAGCTCAGTGAATTTGTTTCAGTGTGACTGCACGCTGCATGCAGAGAAACAATCCCAGTGTGAAGAAGCTCAGAGGATATTTCTAAGTAAAATCTTAACCCAGCACAGAGAAGAAGGGTATACAAATCATAAAGCCAGCTGGACTGAATGGTTGTAAGAAGCGATTAAAGACTTCTCTATTTATTGAGGCAGAAGTGAAAAAGCTACCACTGACATATTGAGGGCACTGTGCTCCATATGAACCTACTTTTTTATGTTCTTTCCTTGACTCTCACTCATGTCACAGCCGAAACCACACACAATATATGGCAGAACAGAGCTTCTGCAGCAGAGCACATCATTTTTTGGAAAGAAACTGAAGGGCTTTTCTCATTGGTAATCCAGATTTTTAAGTAATTGAATGGGATACTAAGCTTATTTCACTCATAAGTGGAAAATTCATAGAAATGTGCTTTCTTATATTTCTGAGGTTTTCCTTACAAAAACTGATGACACAAAGTAAAAGCACCTCTCTGAAAAGAAAATTAGGAGACCAGGTGTCCAGCATTCATAAAGCAGTATAACTCCTCACAGGTCTATAGGGTCACAGTGATTTACACAAAACTGAAGATCTGGCCCTGTATTCCTAGATGTCATGAGGAAAGTTTTTGAACTCTTCAGAATATATATCTTTGAATCCCTGAAGGCACTGGAAATAAAGTTTTGTGCAAGTGCAAACCTGCAGTCTGCATACACAAGGAACCATCAGGACCCAGAACTCCTCTTAGTCTGGGAGACTTCTTTTGAATAGACAGTTCTTGTATACAAAGGAAATAAGAAATCTTGGATTTTAACTTACCCCAGTCACTTCAAACTACTTGATTTTTATTTATTTCTATATACTAGGAAAATAGGATTTTACTTCAGTCCCCAGCTCCTGCCTTGTACTTAACAAGTCCTCCTTCTCAAACAAAAGCCCTCTGAGCAAAAAAGCAAAGAAATCCACACAGACAGAAAAGTGTTCATGGCTACGGTTTCAGGACAGTGAGTACACCCATGCCTTTCAGGCAGGGAAGCTGCATGTGCTGGCAGGGAGCTGAAGAGAAAGAGAACAAGCCATGCTTGATGGTAAGGATTTTAGTCCTTCCTTTAATTCTTATGTGACCCCTACACCTCACCTCCAAAGCTTGCCTATGACAGCCCAAGTGTTATATTTGGAGAACTCCTCACTCAGAGACTAGCCCTAGGAGATGTTATACTGGTTTCAGCTTTTAATAGCTATGATAGACACTCACTGGTAGTAGTACTGATACTTAAAAGGTTGTCCAGGATGCTACATGCTAAAAATGCTACAATTTATCTGTAGCTTCATCAGTCATACCTGGTCGTTCAGAAAATAAGGAATAAATGTATCTTATTCTTATAGTGGAGATTTTTTCCTGTGTAATATTACACAAATCAGCCACTGAAACACGGCAACATAAATCTTACTCATAAACATCTACCACATTTCTTTAGCCAGACAAATAAAACACAGATAGTCTGAAGGCTTAAAATATTTGGTTAAGGTAGACACTTCATGTGCTTCTATCTCCAGAAGCCAACACTACAGACGACTAAATCTGGATAAAGCTGAACAGCTTCAGCACCATTTATTTTATTAACTATCCTTACTTTAAATAGAATTATTTCCTTAACATACTTAACAATATTTATTAAGCTGCCAGTCTTTACAGGAACAAGGAAGTGTATCCTTAACAGAGGGAAATTTGAAAATCTTTGCAATGCATTTTGCAGTGCCAGATTCCTCCAAGGTGATACTGCACATTTTAGCATACTGCTTCCTATCCTGGAGTACTTCAGGACAATTAAAAATCCTGATTGCAAACATTATCAGGTTCTACAATGTCTGTGTGTGCAAGCAAAGATTAAGCATATAACACAGAGATGAAGACAGGACACTTATTATTATTTATTTATTTCTCTTAGTGCATTAACTCACAATTGTCACCTCCCATGTTTATAATAGCACAACATTCTCTTAAGCAGTGGGTTAAAAAAATTACCGAGACAGACTGAGGTATTGTTCCTCTGCCTCTTGCTGAGGCCACCTTTAACATGGGAATATTTTAGATTTACCACCTCAGTCCAGTTAGACAGACCTAATTTACCCTGTGAGGCGAAATTGTTCTTGTTGGAACCATACCAAGCTGAATATGAGAACTCTGAAAACTCACTCTTCATGTGCTAGACAATAATTTATCAAATTAGCTGCTAGGAATATCTGGCATTAAATACATTGTGGGACAAATGGCCTTTCTGTAAATTGCAAGACTTAAATGAAACTACTTACTGCCTCATGCACTACTCATTAGCAACACGATTTATATCAAATTCCAAAATATGGGTCAGATGTAGTTGTGCTGTTACTGATTGCTTAGACACTATCAACTGTCTCAGCAAAAATCCATTAAGAATTATATGCTGTCACTGGGTAGCTACCAATCTTATAATTAACAACTACTGAAAGAATAATAAATGCGTCAATGACTCTCAAAATGGTTATTACTATTGCAGATAATAATTTAGAATAACAAAAATAATTTTAAAAAGGTATATGTGCTTAAGCATTTATGTTTCTACTTTTTCATTAATAGTCAAGCAACCTTTTCCATCAGTGAAGATGTAAAAAGCAATGTCACTTATTTATAGAAAAATACATTTGCCCATGCTTTGAAGTCTCTCTTGTGTATCTTCTATTGCACCTATTCTCCTCTCCCATTTTCTGAGTGGCTTTAGAAGCAAGTATGTACTAGAATCTCATATGCTGCAATAAAACTAAATAGAAATAACTATCAAAGTATACTACTTTTTCCAAATCAGATGTATTTATTATTGAAAGAACGCTTTATTGTGATATTATGCATCTATCAATGTTTCTTTTCCTCCTGCCTTCAAACAGAGGGCAGATGTGCCTAAAACTATTGTTTCAAGTGCCAGGAGATCTCAGATGAAGAAAACAGGGACAAAGAATTGGACATTTTAAGCTTCTTTCTACCTTCTACACCTTTCCCTCTTGAAAACATACTTTCAGGCAGTTTATATAGCAGAAGACCCTGCTGTGTTGCCTAAAGAAAGAGATGTGTAAACACCAAAATGCCACTGGAACAGGTTGCCCAAGGAAGTTGTGGCTGCCCCCTCCCTGGAAGTGTTCAAGACCAGGCTGGATGAGGCTTTGAGCAACCTGGTCTAGTGGAAGGTGTCCCTGCTGATGGCAGGGGGGTTGGAACTAGATGATCTTTAAGGTCCCTTCCAATCCTAACCATTCTATGATTCTATGATCATGTTATTTTCAACAATCAGCAAACAAATTGGTGTGCAATTAAAGGATTATGTGAAGTCCTCCAGTAAAGTAGGATACTGCCCAATATATCCACAGACATTCCATCTCATTTCCTATGAAGGGAGCAGACTAACACTTGCACATGCCATGTATCTGATAATTTGAAGAGGAGGAAGAAGGAGGAAGAGAAATGTGGGGTTGATCTTAATAGAGAATACAGCCAGCATTTCCCAGTGAGAAATTCCCACCTTTGCCACAACATAGGACAAACCATTTAACTTCTCCCAATCCCACATTTTGCCTGTTTTAAATGGGACTAAACACAGTCTCCCAGGTTCCTAACTCTATCACTCTTATTCTCTGTCTTTTCATGCCCCAGGCTCCAGCTGTGTTAGAGACAAACTGGTTTGTCTTTTCTCTCTCTCTCCACTTTGATGTCATCAGGGTAGCACTGAGAGCACAGAAGACTGTGCAAAAGTAGAGGTATAAAGAAGAGCTGGAGCGAGCAACCACAGCAAAAATCCCGTTCAACCCCTACATCATGGCCAGCCATGTGGGTAACCCAGTCAGCACTTCAAGAATTAGCTACACACTGGATATTCTCCCCTGGGTTTTTTTTTTTTTTTTTTTTCTCTAGTTTATTGCCAAGAAGGTTCTACTGATCTTGCAAATGTCAAGATTTAATATAAGGTTAACTTCACCAAATTTGGGGGTGTGGAAATGAGACACCCTCCCTACTGTCACCATGCAAAAGTAGAGAAGAGTGCTCAGCCCTCCTCTCCCTGCCCCAGAGCAGCAGGGTCATACTGATTGCTGGGGCTCAGCAGCATCAGCTCCAGGAGCTTCCCCCAGCTACTCTGTCGTCTTCAGCAGGGCTGCACCACCTGAAGGACCAGGAGGCAGAAGGACCAGAAAGGCTGATCTGCATGTGGTTAAGAGGCCTGGCTAAAGTGAGGAATGGCTGGGAGACTGCAGCCCTTCTGGGCCTCTGGAAGGGAGCAGCAGGGAGAGGTAAGCGGTGTGGTGGGAGTCCAGCAGCTACTGGCTGGACCGTGGGGCCATCAGTCACAGTTTGCAGGCCCTCCTGAGGGAGAGGAGGCTCAAAGAGAAGCCTGTCGGGGCTTAGCATTTGCTTGTGGTGTGAACATACTTGTATTCAGCAGAAGGACTCACCTGAGCTGGAAGGGGACTGGACGTTTGTGGTGCCTGGGATGCAGTGTTGAGTTGTGGCTGTGGTGGAGGTAGGCTGCAGATCTGTAGAGAAACGGAGACACAACAGCTGCTTTGTCTTACCATGACATGGAGGGCATGTCCTGCATAGCCAGTCTGCTGTTGAGTCTGAAACACCCTCTCTTTTTACACACACAAAGGGAAATGACTGGCATCTGCCTGGAAAACCAGGCAACTATGGAGAACAAACAGCCCCAGATCACCTCCAGGAAACCCAGCAAATGCAGCAGAAACACTTTCCACACCTCTTAGGGAAACTGGACTTGAAAACAAAGTGGCTGCGGAGAGCAAGGCTTCAACAAGCCCACCCTGGCTTCAGAGAGTGCTGACAGCTGACAGTCATTGGGAGAGGGCGGACAGCAACCCACTGGACAGATATATGTGGGGAGACGGGGTGAACTCACTCTGTCAGGAGAGGCTCAGGCAGTGTGCAGGGACTTCAACAGCTTCTGTCAGCAGCAAGAGACAGCCTGCCTCCTGTTCCCACCCTTCTGCCCTCAAGCTGGGCATCCCTCCAAACTTGGTCCAGGTGTGAGGGAGCGGGGCCAGCCGAAGCCTTTGTTGCTGGCTAGGAGTTGGCAAGCAAATTTTATTTACACCCACTGGGCTACCCCACCTTGGAGGTTCTCTGCTCAGTCTTGTAGCAGGAACTGCATTAGCTTCAAGAAAGAGAGCCATGGAAATCCACGCTTCTCAAAAAGCAGTTGTCCTTTAACATCTACAAGGATCAAGGACAACGTGCCCAAAGGCTTCTCCCCAGCCCATGTACAGGCTGAGAGAGGCTCTGTCAACCCAAAGGTTGCTTGGTGATGGGGTGAAGCTTTCCAGCCAAGCTGGCTTGGCCTAAAGGGTTTAAAAGCAGGGGTAAAAGAGACCTTGGTGCTGTAAGCCCAAGCCTTTTCCCGCTGTGTTTTTTTCCTGTCCACAATGAAGGAGGGGTCACCATACAAGCAGTTGCATTCTGTTTGGTCATATTGAGAAGTTGCAGTAGGCTTGCCCCATATAGTTGTGTAAGGAGCTAATTACAATTCTGTAATTAGCCATGTGGAAGGACAGGCCAAGGAGGGAAGCACTGCAACAGCAGGCCCAGAGAGGTCCCTGAGCCTGGGCCACCGAACAGTTGGGCAAGCAGATAGCTAAGTCTGTAAGATTGGATCAGAGTGGGGATGAACTTTATAGGGGAGGAAATAACCAAAGTAAATGAGTAATAGCATACAAAATACATGCAGCAGTTGGGCTACTAGATAGGAGAGCTAATTGGACATGGTCATTATAGTACTACGAGGAAAGGTCCAGGAACAGGTATTCAAGCAGTGAGTTTTAGCTAACTTCTGCAACTTCTTTTTTCTGTTTTAGCAGATACACAGGAACAGACCCCAATTGTTTATACACACATCCTAACTGAGGTATATATTTATATTTTACATTAGAAGAACATCTGTAAAAGGGACAAGAACATTTGATTGTTTACTAAATTGAAAAGGAAATGCATTCTTAAATTACTTCTTAGGTCCTGAAAACTATTGGCAAGCAAATGTCCTGTTCTCCAGAGAGGGAACTCATTAACCATTGTAACAGCCTTGCACATGTTTGGAACAATAGTCCTTGAAACAGAATAATAATTGCAAAGAACTGTCCTGTGAGGTCTGTCAGGAGGGCAATGGTTACCACTCTCAACGACAACCCCATCCACTCCTTTTAGTCTACAGATGAAATATGCATGGACATATCAGAGGACTGATAGATCCCAAAGAACTGGCCTCCAAGTTCTCCCATTTCTCCTGTAGAGAAACCAGCTAATGAGGCCAGAGCACTTAACCCTCAATAGCCAAGAGATAATTAGGTTGGCTACCGATTGCTTTTGTGCTAATGAAACTAAGAAATTGATGGAGTTGCCCTTCCACAACTTTTCTAATGATTGTCCTGAAATGGCAGGTGGGTCACAAATCAACAGCCAGCTAGATTGTTAGCATCAACAACTTGTTTCCAAGTGCTGGCACATAGACTTCCAGTTCATGGAGCTTATGTACTTTGGGCAATGCAGGATCCCTGTGGAGAAGACAGATACCCCTGCACAACACTCCAATTATGCACAGCCCTCTGGAAGAGGTGAAATGGTTTACCAGTCTTCCAAAGTAAGAGGACTTACAAAGTTTTTCAGTGCAAGTAGGAAAAGGCAATGAAGAAGAAATGTTTCAGCATATGTTAGTATGCAAAGCATAAGCATTCACTGGTCCCTTCACACCCGTGATGCTACACAGGGAAATGCAGTGCCCTGCACACTTCCCTGGCTGAGTCAGCTGTGCAGCGTCTGGCAGTTCCTAAATAACCACTGTTTGTGCTGCAAAACTCATCTTGAGCTTTAATTGTGAAAAAATACTAGAGACTTCTATGTTAAAGGTACAAATAAAATGTTGTTTCTAATCAGAAAGCAACACTAATTTATGATGTTGAATTTGTACTTCATTTTTTAAAATTGCATGCTGGAGTGACAGACTATTTTGCCTAAATCCTACAATTCACTGAAAACTGGGAGTTATGAAAATGTATCCTATTACAAGAGGTTTGAAGGGAAGAACAAGTACACAAAACAGTTGTGACTCCTCACATTTTAAGATTATGTAAAACAGCACAATTCTCATGGTTTCTGCTGACAGATAACACATGGAGAGTTTAATCTTACTCTTAGTTGGGTGAAAGAGCAAATGCCAACTGTTTGCAGTGGGAACTGTCTCGGATCTTCTAGGGTCACAATGTAAAGACAATTTTAAAGTTCTTGTGCATTTTCCTAAGAAACCAGATTTCCACGGCCTGAAAATATTTGATCAGAGACCAGTACCTCAGATGTGTTTTTCATGCATATGGAAACAATTGTAATCATCATTCACACTCTTTAAGTCAAAGACTTTTGACAACTAAAATTTTATCTTTTGAAGGCCTTTTGAAAAATTAATGTGAACCATTCACAGACCTTTGAAGATTTTGGGCGTGGGGGTTGAGGAAGCAGACATGACTGAAGGTCACCAGGATACCACATAGCAATAACTCCTTGCAGGCTGCAGCCCTGACAGCATTTTGAAAATTGCTTAGCATGTTGAACGTAGAGGCTGTAGCTGAACAATTACCATCCTGCCTAAGCCAGCCCATGTACCTGAAGCAGCACTCTCCTCAGCCAGAGAGGGATCAGCCAGGACAAAAACCCAGGGATTTCTCCCAACCGCTGAGACACTTTTTAAATACTAGTCTTGGAGGCAAGAGACTCTGAGGCTTCCAGAGTAATTACTTTTCTCTGGCAGACAGACAATTATTATCAGAATGGGCAAACCTTTTCCTTTGCTCTGAATTTGTATGAAATCAATATGGGGGACTATTTCAAACAAATAATACAATTTGCTTACATTTGTTTGTTACAAAACCTTGCTAATGTAAGAAGAAAGGAATGTTGTCTAAATAAATGACACCACTGTTTTTTTCAGAGGGGCATACAACCTCATGTCGACACATAATTACCTGCATCATTTTTAGTTTAGAATAGAGATAGATATGCTGATTTCTCATTTAACACTTAATATGCCAGATCCATATCTGCAGTAAAATAAAGTAGCAAGAGAGATCATATCAGAAATCTAGGTCAATTCATTCATGTTACAAAATACGTATTTTCAGTGTTTTCAAACTCCAGCTACAAAGACTCTACGGGCTTCATTTTGTGATCAGTATAGGAGAGGACAATAATGACAGAGTAGGTCCTCAAAAAGTCAAGTAAATTGACTGAAGATCTAACCTGGCATTTTTTTTACTCAGCTTTGTTAGAGACTTCAGGTTCAGTCTTGCTCTATTATGAATTAGTCCCTTGAAACCGAAAGGAGACTAGCATGCAGTGAGCAAGTATTTTGCTCAGCGGTAGCTGTTTGCAGGATTGCGTTCCTGCTCATTATCTGATAATAGCCTATGGATACTGAACCCCTTGGACTAGCTTTCTGTACAGCAGGGGGAAACGTACACATGAGCACATATACACACAGGGACATTTTGTAAGGAAACTCACCACTGCTAGAAGCATCGTTGAGATTTAGCAGCCCACCTCCGAGCCCTCTGTAACTATGGTAACTGTAGGTCCCATTGCCATTGATGTACAACACCTCCTGCGTGCTGGAAACAGCTGACGTTGAGTAAGTGACCTGGGCTGGCTCCTGTTTGTACTGCTTGTCAGCTGGAGCAGCCTCGTCCTGCAAAAAAAAGGAAAGGTTTTGAATTATTGTTGCATTTTGCCTTGCATGAGAGGGTCTTTTCCATTGTTAAGACTCCACATCTATTGCTTTCAGAAATGTATAATACATGTTAAACAAGCACAGATGTGTTTATGATTGACCAAATATCAGATGAAAAGAAACAATGGAAATAAGCAATACCAGCTTCCTATAAATTTGAGAATATCCATTTATTTGTGCTCCACAAGCCAACCAGACTGTTTCTCAAAGGAGAAGATGCATCCTCTCACTCCTAAGAGCTCCTGCAAAACCCAGCTCGGTCTAGAAATAGCATGGGAGAGGACAGAAAAAAGCCATTACTTTCTGAGTACAGGAGTGACTCTTATGAGCCAGAGAATCATATCTTTCTTGATAAAGACAAACGAATACAGAATGTAACAACTACTTATTTTGATGTATCAGCCTCAGAAATGACAAAAGGAATGGAGAAATGAAATAAAATAGCATTTCCTATGCTTGCAGAGGGCTGAGTGAGCGTGCATCCACACAAGGGCCAAGTAGAAAGGATGCCTCTACAAACATGACTTGAAAGCATTTTTTATGTGTATGAGCAGCAACTGTTTGTACACTATGAGTTCTCCTCAGTGCTCTCTGTTTACCTCTTAGATGCTTGCATAGTATTTAAAAGGAGTTAGCACAACAGCCCTCCAATTTTCACCTAAAGGAGATAATTTTTCAGGTGAAAGTGTATTTTCCCCATCTGTACTTAACGTAGCTACTGCTTAGAGCATCTCACCTCCAATCATGATCACAGAATGCCCCTGTGGTAACCTTAGTAATGACACAGGTGAAAAAAAGAAAAGCATTAAGCAAAGATTTAATGTGTTTTAGTAGCTGGAAACAAGGAAAACTATCAGTGTGTGACTGCTCAGCCCACCATAGGGACCAGAGTGCCAGAATTTATGATTTAGTCTGCAAATGTATTTGAACTTTTTCTTTGTTTCTTTTCATTTGTAGACTTTTTTTACGGGCCTGATTTTACACTCTTATCTGATGAAAATATATTTCAGTGATTTCAAATAAAAGGGATCTATGGAAGAGCAGTATTTAAAAAAACAGAGGTGGGAATGTTTGCAGACCTTTTCAGAGTAGTTAACTGAAAAATGATCTGTCAGAATTATCTCCCCTTTGTGTAAGATTTTGTCCATTTTATGCCTCTCTCTTCTGCACAACTCTTTTATGGTTGATAATATACTAAACTTATTAAGAATGCTATAAAATACCTCAAACCTTTTTAACAGAGTTTACTTAAAAGTAAGAGTGTATATACCAGCACAGAGGGATCATATGGCTCAAACAGTGTGTCCAGTCTCTGTGTTGAAGCGAAAGGGTTCTGAAGCAGCTTTCCTGTTTGCATTAGGAGCAGTCATCAGTTCCACCTCCCAAATAAGACACTACCAACTTTTCTAAGATTAAGATATCCCCGTCTTGTAGATATTTATTGGTGAAAGAGACTTGGACACAACTGAGATGACTCAGGAGAAGGTATATATATTATTAACAGAAATTTTAATATTTAATACAGAACACTGAACCATCAACTAATTAATTCCATAAACAATCAGAATGGGGCATTAATATGAGCTGAGGCAAAGCTTTGCATTTTTCAGAGAGTTGGACAAACTGTTCTCCTATGCATTTTCTTAAGTAACAACAGGCTCAAACAAAGGGCCAAAATCACAATATATTTTCGCCAGGAATTCAGCTTTAATATCCTTTACCTTTTATGCCCAAAGGTCATTGCTGTCTCTTGTAAGAGAAAATGTATTATTTTCTCTGAGAAAATATTCACAAGCTGTAAAGTAAAGTTCTACCTCAGTAATAAAGCTTAACTCATCGTCCAAATCTTCAAGGCTGAGATGTTCTGTATCCTTATGGCTAAAACTAGATACTTCCTGCCATAGACTCACTTATAGCCTCATTTTATTCTCACCAAGATAACTAAGGCATCTTCTGCAAATTTATCAAGGACTGGACTGTGTTCAAGGGGTGCAGTGCAAAGGGGTCTAACTCCTATAGCTGAGCAGAGTATCTCAGGGCCTGTATCCTTATCCCAGCTGTCTGGAGCCCACAAATTTGCTGTCCCTGAATTTACACATCCTCTAGAACCCCTCTATTCAGTGCACTGAAAATCTAACAGTGAGTTTCTTGCAGAGCTGATGCACTGATCTGAGCTTCTAGAGCTGATGCACAGCAAGCAGAGCCTGGCCAGAGGGCACAGCAAAGGCGCTTGGTGCACCTTGGTGCGTATTAGCTCATGTGTTAGAGCCCAGGGCCAAGAAGTGGGAGATCTGAGTTCTGGCTGCTTGTTGCCACACATGGTGAAGAGGTGGAAAATTTGGGATGCAAGGTCTTTTTCGCTATGGTGAGGAGGGGACCTGAACTCAGAGCTGCCATCTCCTAGCAACCAGGCTCAAAGCAAAACTGTGGTGGGAGTTGTAGCTGAAGCTGTGCCACTGTGTGGAAAGAAATGCATAGAGCTACAGAGATGATAGCAGACAAAAAGGGAGCGTGACTCAGTTCCTTTTCAGAGAAGTGCTGCCCTGGGAGGCTTCCAGCCTTGCTCCATTCCAGCTATTCCCTGACACAAAACTCAGAAGCTGCTCTGAGGTTGGGAATCCAAGGCTGGGCTGCGCCACAGAAGGGGGATCTCTGTATAGAACTAATCGCAACCCTGTGCAACACCCCTGCGTGCCATGGGCAGGGGCCTGAGGTGGAGCCCAGGCCTCCTGGTGGGGAAGACACTCCTTGGAGGGGTGGAAGTGGCTCAGGAAGATGCTGAGCCCAGGACTCCTGGTTCTGCATGTGAGCTCTGAACTCATGGCCACTGTACAAAAGGTTGCTTCCTCTAAATATTACATATATTTTTAAAAAGCAGAACAATCACCTGTACCTAAATGATGAATAAATTGCCATACATTCCAGACCTAAAATCTGGGCCTCATCTAAGTGCTCAGCACAGTGCTTCAGGATGACTAAATGCAGAAGCACGGCAGGATTTTTGGCGAGCATTTTCTGAGCTGGCTCAGGTGTTAGCCCTGCTGATAGGATTATGAACCATTAGCCTGGTCTCAGGAGGACAGGTGCCACCTCTCACACATTCCCCTGGGATTTAAGCATTTTTCAGAAATGTTCTGTACTTCAAAAGGCAAAACTGTGTCCTTTTTCCTTGAAGCATGCCAAAGATAAAGAAGCCAGCTCTCTGTTTCTTGGGGAGAGAAAACATTAATTTCATATTCACTTTTGTATATCTGAGATCTATTCTGCACAGATTCATTTTCTTCTTTCCTTTCATCTTAATTGCCTTTGCTTTTAAACTGATACAGAATTTAAACAAATATAGTGTTGTACCAGAACTGAGATTTTTTTTTAATATTCTATGTTAGTCATTCAGCACTTCTTGTTTTCCCCTACATTATGTTTACACTGGAAAGGATTAATAATTTATTTAAAATATTATTTTTAAAATATTTTACTTTCATAATAATTGGTAACAATTAACCAACCATTTTTAAAAGTTTGACCTAACTATCTGGAACACATACTGTTGTAATTCCTAACAAATTTATAAAACCTGCAAAGTATTAACTAACCATTTTAAAACTATTTATAATTTACCTTCAATAAGAAGTATGAACAAGATGGAGATAAAACATTTGTCCATTTAGAATCTGACTTACACCATCTTCATTTTGTATATGGCAATGGAAATAAGTCATCCATCCAACAATATTTCTCTTCCAAATTTATTTTGGAGGAGAAGTAATTTAAGTCTTGAGCATAGCATCTGGAAAATGATGGAAATCACAGAAACGCAAAAATACCTTTTAGGTACACAATCATGCTAAAACACAAAGTTATCTCTTCACCTGAAAAAGTGTAAGCATGAAGTACACACTGTGATCTTCAACTTGGTATATATCAGAGATATCTATGTCTCAGTTTTATGTCCAGGTCTGTACTAGGAGAACACAATTTTTTCCTTAGAAGAGCAGATAGATGCAATTTATTTTATTTCATTTTTAATCACGGAAGCAATTAAGTAACCATCTAAGGACAGTGCATACTAGAAAAGATTTCATGAACTATTGCATAACCTGTATACTGAAGAAACCCTACTCTGCTCTGACTCATATTCTGAGCAGCTAATGAATAGTTTAAAAGGAAACACCATCCACAGCAACACGGCCGCTAGCACAGTACATCACGACTGCTGTACGAGGAGCGAGGCTCACTGGCAATGTCTCAGCCCCCTGTTCCCCATGCCAGCAGAGGCACAGCACACACATTTCTTTTTGAAAAGTCTGTTCTTCGTGGAAGCAACTCAAACAATGCCATTGCTCCTTTCTGATCCCCATCTCCTTCACCACCATCACAATAATACAAAAAAAGTAAGAGCTTGTTAAAATAAAAACCTTTGGCAAATCTGTGCTACGTTGAGTTTTGATCCCATATACACACGAGTGTCAGAAATTCTGTGTGTTCCATTAAGAGAGAGCAGTGCTGTTGCCTTGGCTCCGCTGTTAGCAATAGGTACTGCTAAGGTGTCAATGTAAATCCCGAAAGGGAATATGTATGCAGATCAACTCACACGGACAACGCTAGCTGACTGTAAAGCTAAAACAACTTCTGTAACAAGAATATAGATGGTAATGTTCCAAAAATGGCAAAGATGGTGACATGCATTTAACTGCTGCTTTCATGAAATGCAGTGTCGACCAGACTGACAGATTAACAACTCTGAGAATAACAGAGTTATTAACTGCCCCTATGTCAACGTGATTTTTTTCCCCACACAAATAGAAAAGAGACAAAAAGGCAAACACATTTTTGCCTTATGTTTCTTGATACTTTCTTTTTTTAATATGTTAAACTGAAAAATGTGGATTGCTTGTTGGTCTTGTCAGTAAACACTTCTCTTAGGATACCACTTTGAGGTTAGGAAAATTCAAATGCAG